CACTGTAATGGCAAACTGCTGGGGCTACTACAGCTTCCATGTCACAGAAAGATTTGTTCTGTTTTGTGGAAAGCACTTTTCAATGTCTAGGAAGTCATCTGCCAAAGAGAGGGATGTGTGGTGTGGGGAACAAAGTACTAGCCTTGAAGCCAGGATTCAAGTCCTAGCTCTGACCCATGCTGAGTACGTGACTCTGGTCAAGTCACAACCTCCCAGGCCTCTAGGCCAGTGCTGTCAAACTCAAAGAGAAACCGGTCACTAAATGGTACATAAGGATCCCTGCTGGCAGCATAATGACTTAGAAAACCATATTAAGATAACAGTATTTATTTTTACTTATTTTGTTAAGTATTTCTTGACTACATTTTAATCTGGTTCCCAGCATATTCCCTCTGGTCCAGGCAACTCTCTAAGACTAAGTGGCACAGGAGGGGCTGATCTGCATTAACAGATCACCTGGGAATTGCTTATACCAGCTTATACCAAGTCTATAATCTTACCAGCTTTTAAAAAAATCCCTCAAAAATCACAGCTGATAACACTAACAAGTTTTTACCTTTTAGAATGTTTCCTTTTCATGCATTCTTCTTTTCCTCCTACACCCATAAGGGGAAGTGAAATTTTATCTAAGCAGTTTGATAAGACAAACTGTGCTCACTCTTAACCTTTTGGTACTATCTAGTTTCTTGTCTTGGTGTATATAGTTGAAGACAAGCAGTGAGTTCCAGGAGACCACTGTTTTAAGTATCAGTGGATGGCAAATTTGATGTAAAATTGATTAGGTTTTTCTTGATGAATGTAATCACAATTATTTTAAAGTGAGTTTTATACAAAACAAAAAGCAGAATTATTGTTACATTGGCTAGAATGAAAAGGATATTGTTATTGTTCCTCTTGCTTCAGGGTAGGAACACACCTGGAGATACTTGGGAGAATTTTTCTACTCACAGTGTCCAGTTTGTACATTATACCTTCCTCTGGATGTCATTAGTAGTAGTATGATATTTGGAATTGTTATTTTAGAGTAAATGTTATGTTTCCCTTGTTCCCTACTTACTATCCATAGATCCCAGAAGAAAGTCTTCCCTGCCAAAATGAGGTGTTAGGAGGCATTGTATTCTTCTACCCCTTTTGGGTTTTATTGTCCAGTTCTTAACCATAGTCTCCATATGCTTTCCTTTAGCACTGCTTTTATATCTTTTTTGCATGGCTGCCTCCTTGTTTCTGTTTTCCTACATCCATGGTAAAGCAGTCATAACTAAGATTTTTAAATGAGAGGTCATTTTAAGGTATTCTACCCAAGAATTAATATTGTAAATTTCCTGTTCTTCCAATTGTGAAATTATATATTCAAAATGAACCTTTCCAAGTAATACAGATAATGATCTTGCTACTTCTGTCATAGATGACCCTTCAGCTACTGAACTATGCTGATTTTGCTATAGTGACTGTGAAAGATCTGGAAGTACAGAAAACTCATATCCTTAACCCCCCTATTGGTGTTGCCTTGCCATTGCTAGCTGCCAAACTATCTTTTGAAAAAACAAAACTGCATTTTGTTGTCCAGTAGTTAGTTGCTATTTCTGTATACCCTGAGCTTCCCTAGACATTTAACAAGGAAAGTGAAGCAAATATGATAATTCCAGTCACTTATTATCCCTAAAAGCCTTATATTAGTGAATAGGATAAGCACAGGGAATAGACCTGGGATATTGATATGCTGGTATAAGCAATTCCCAGGTGATCTGTTAATGCAGATCAGCCCCTCCTGTGCCACTTAGTCTTAGAGAGTTGCCTGGACCAGAGGGAATATGCTGGGAACCAGATTAAAATGTAGTCGAGAAATACTTAACAAAATAAGTAAAAATAAATACTGTTATCTTAATATGGTTTTCTAAGTCATTATGCTGCCAGCAGGGATCCTTATGTACCATTTAGTGACCGGTTTCTCTTTGAGTTTGACAGCACTGGCCTAGAGGCCTGGGAGGTTGTGACTTGACCAGAGTTACGTACTCAGCATGGGTCAGAGCTAGGACTTGAATCCTGGCTTCAAGGCTAGTACTTTGTTCCCCACACCACACATCCCTCTCTTTGGCAGATGACTTCCTAGACATTGAAAAGTGCTTTCCACAAAGCAGAACAAATCTTTCTGTGACATGGAAGCTGTAGTAGCCCCAGCAGTTTGCCATTACAGTGAAAAGTAGAACCCTGTGTGATAAACCAGCTCTTGCCCCAAGCTCACTTTGATCTTTCAGGTTTTGCTGCCTTCGGTTGATTTATAAAACATTGAGAACAGTGTGTTATCAGTTTTTCTGCTGCCAGAATGGAAAATGTGTATGAAGCCATGTGGAATGATAACATTATTTTTTCTCTTTAGAAGAAAACTACTCCATTGCCTATAGGGTATGTTTTAAATATCTGCCCTTGGGATGCATCTTGAAATTATTTTTCAAATTAAACTGATAATACTTTAATCCTCCTTGTAAACTTTTGTATTGTCATATATAGCAGTAACAGTGGGATTTTTTTTGTTTTAAAATTTTTTTAAGTACAGGTATTTTACCCAGTGAATAAATTTTCTCTTGATCAGTGGAAATCTGCAACTTCTAACCCTACAAAGTTGCTTAGAACACTTGAAGGGTTGTGACTTGTTTAGTTTCAGACAAGCCTGTATATGTGTCAGACTCAAGACTTAAACTGAAGTTTTCCTGACTCTGAGACCCAGCTCTCTATCCACTATTCCATGCTGCCTTTTTTTTTCCCCCCAGCTAGGCAATGGGGTTAAGTGACTTGCCCAGGGTCACATAGCTAGTAAGTGTTTTGTGTCTGAGGCCGGATTTGAACTTAGGTCCTTCTGAATCCAGGGCCAGTGGTCTATCCACTGCGCCACCTAGCTGCCCCTTCCATGCTGCCTTTTCTAATAATGTAATTTAATCCTTCGAATAAACTTTTGATTTTACTGGGGTTAAGCAGGAACAAATATATAGTCTGAAAAGCAGGCAGTTATATTAGCCAGAGTTCCAATTTTATTTTATTAAAACTGCAAATAAAATACTGAATATTGACTTTTCCATTTCCAACATTAGAAATAGTAGTATTTTATAAACATTTTCCTATAAATCCTTAAGTCTTTTGTTTCTTGAAACAAATACAAAGTGAAAGCTGCATAGAACTCAGAACAATACTGTGTCCTGTAAATAAATATCTGTGCTGATTTCTTTAAAAAAAAGTTTTTTAGTTGGTGGTAGGTCTCACTAATATGTTTAAGTATTCACTCCAAATGCTAGGTTAAAGGTCCAAGGAGGGAAAGCTCATTTTCATTAATAGTGAAAGACTTTTTAAACTCATTACAAACATTTCTTCTGAATGTTAGAAGAATTTGTATCTATTATAATATGTATTACTATGACCTATATTTATCATATAAAATCATATAGATGAATGAACTCGTATCTCGTCAAATGTTCTAAATTCCTTGGTGATGGATGCTTATAAGGCCATAGGATTATTGTAATTGATATGTTGTATGTCAAATTATAATTTTGGGAAGTCATACTTCCAGTCATCTGTTATCCAGAGTAATTAGAGAGGGAGTATTTAAGAAGCCTTTCATTTTTTTCTTATCTGACCCACAGTGCTATGAAACTCTTCTTTATGCACTTAGCTTGTCCACTTAGGAACAATAGAATTACCCCAGCTAGGATAATTTATAGTATTCCTTCCCCTTGTGACTCTAGATTCCATTAACTGAGAGGGTGAACAACATAGGCCCCTTTTCTTTGGTAGAAGAGCTTTAGCATTATGGTGACCTTTGGGTGCGAGCTATCAGTAACATTTATCTGTGAGTTAGAATCTGCTAGGGAAAATGTAAAGCCTCAGACCATTGCACCCTGACACATTCCTTCTTTCTTTTTTATAGAACTTAACATTTACAGCTCTGTACATTTCTAGGATTTATAACATTAAAAAATGGCTTCCATGCAGAGCAGCAGTTATCACTTCCTGACCCCCTGCTACTGTTTGTATCAGCAGCAATTAAAATTTGATTTACTAATCCCTCCTTGCTGCCTCTCCAACTTCTTATTTTTCATCTTCGTGGAGCTCTAATGCTGTTATAGCAGAGCAACACCTCCTCAGCCATCTGGCCCAGGAGAAGAGGCACCTAAACAAAATCATCAAAAACAAAGAACATGAATGAGCAAGATCAGAATAGTATGAGATGTGAAAAACAGGAAAAGGTGGAGAGAAGAGAGCCAGGATTGCCAGCCTTTTTGTTTCAAAGATGAAAGCAGAGTCCAGGGATGTTTGAGTTGAAGGCTCTCCCTTTGCTAGGAAAAGATCCTCCCTTTGCTTTCTAGAAGAGAATAATCCACATTAAAGTGAGTAGTTAAACTTTTTCCAAATCCATACCAGATGCTATTAGCTGAAGGAATTATAAAATCATTGGAGTCTTTAAAAGATCTCATCCTTCCATATTCTTGGGAAGTATGCCTGCATTTGATTAGGAAACCTGCTCTTTCTTTAGGAAGAGACTATACGTATAGTTCATGAATTATATCCATATTGCCTTAATAAAACATCACATAGAGGTTGCTTTTAAATGTTGTGCCATACTGTGAGGAGAAGGCATTGTGTTGGTATCCTCAGTGCCAGAAATTACTGGAATTACTTAAGTGCCTGTCTGGATAGATTTTTAATCAGTGAAATCATTTGTAACTATATTGCAATTGCTATTCAAATGCTACTAATACAGAAACTTAAGAAAACTTTTTTTTCCTTTGAGGGTAGACAGTCATGTGTTGGCTGGTTTTGCTGAAATAAATATAGCCAAACTAACTTTTCCTCAGTGCTTTGCAGGGATTCTTAATTAAAAGAAAAATAAAAACAAAATCCACAGTTACAGGAAGAATACGACTAATTAACTTAATTTTTGTCATTGCTTGCCATGGCTTCACCTTTCCTTCTGTATATTGCTCTCATGCTTCCTAATGCCCTAGCAGAATGCATCGACAGATCGTCGAGGAGAATGGGAAATCCAGCCCAGCCGGCAGACAAATACCTCGTACCTGACATCTCACTTGGCTGCAGACCGGCATGGGGGATCAGTGCAGGTACTGCCTTTATTGCCTTTGTCTGACCTTCCTAGCTTGGCTTTTGGAATATTGGCATGCTTCTGTCTTTGGAATGGAAACTACTACCCAAGGGTAAGCTGTTCTTCATATTTTTGACAGAACTATCCATACACTAAGTTTTGGCTTAATCGAGCTTACTGAGGTGTGGATCTCACTCCTAGTTATTGTCAGGGAAGTGTAGGAATGTCAGTAAGCAACTAACGTCCTTATGATTTCGAATATTGTTTTCCGATTGACTTAGTTTTATAACACAGAAAAGTAAACTACATGATATAAACTCTCCGTGTTAAACTATATAATCTGCCTTCAGGGTTGCCTGGCCATTTTAAACATGTTTAAGCTTAAAAAGATGTTTAAAGGTTAAAGAGTTGAATTAGCGTTAGCCAGTGAGAAATTGGACTAGGAATAGAGAACCTTGAATACATCATGATGGTGTGAGACATAGCCCCAAGGCAACCTTAGGGTACACTAGTACTTATAAGTAGTGTTAACTGGTTAGCTTTGGGCAGAGGAGGTTACATGAGGCTTGCTCAGCAATGATCATGCTGACTTGTACTTTGTATGAGAATATGCCTTTGGTATATTTTCGACTAGGTATTCAAGAGAATGGGTTATTTCTTTTCCTTTACAGTAAAAAAAAAAAAAAAAAAAGTTATCCAGAAGAGACACCTCAATATATTTCTGATGTCATCTCGGTTACCTGGATTCCCTTTTTCCCTCTTCAGTGCTAAGAACACCATCTCCTTAAGTTTTCTTCATTACTGATTATATTAACTTTGTTCCATATCTTTTTGTCACATTGGTCGATTACTATGTACTTGCATCAAGGAGGACCCACTTGTAAGAACCCCATCATAACATATTTTCTGTTTGAGATATCTCAGAGAAGTAGTAATTCAATTTGGAATTAGGTTGTTGTCCTTAACATGAAGTTTGGGATATTGTAGCACATTCTCTGTAATGATTTGATAGATTGAAAGAACTATGAGAAACACAAACTCTGGTGGCATGGGGAACACACAATTTGATGTTTCCAAATATGGATTTTTACATTGAGTTCAATTTAAGATTCATTGTTTCATATATCATTTTTCCTCTCTCCCTCACCCCAGAACAAAATCCCACCTTTGGTCCAGCAGAAAAAAGTGCCACTAAGTTTCATTTGGCATATTTGTGTTTGTGTTTGTGTCTGGTACTAGTTATCTTAAACTCATTAAAAAAAAAAAGTAAAGTTTTTTATTTAGATTAAAAAAACACAGGGGAAGCTAGGTGGCGCAGTGGATAGAGCACTGGCCCTGAAGTCAGGAGGACCTGAGTTCAAATCTGGTCTCAAATCAAACACTTGACACTTAACTAGCTTTGTGACCCTGGGCAAGTCACTTAAAAAAAAAACCAGACACAAAAAAAATACTTGATTAAAAACATCAAAAAATGCAAGAACGTCTGAACAGTAAATAGTTCAGTTTTTGAAAGACTTTGCAGTTTTAGTAGACTGTAAGTTCAGTGTGATTCAATAATGTAACATGGAAACCAAAGCTGATTTATCTTAGGTATGTGAATAGAAACATAATATTCATAATAAGAGGAATTCATAGTCCTGCTTTGTGTAACAGTCTGCCCTAGTCAGACAACATCTGGAGTACTCTATTCAGTTTTGTGTCATGTTGTATGAAAAAGAGTAACCTGGAGCTTATCCAAAGGTGACCAGGACAATAAAAAAACTCAACACCATGCCATGTGAGGATCAGTGGTAGGAAAGGGGATTTTTTTAGCCTGGAGAAGAGGAGACATAGCAGGAACATGATAACTGTCTTCAAGTATTTGAAGGCCTGCCACACATAAAATTTGTTTTGCTTGGACCCAGATGACAAAGGCTAGGAGCAGTGTGGGAAAGATGTAGAGAGGCAGAATTTGACTTAATTTAAGAAAAAGCCTACATAAAAATTAGAACTGTTCAGAAGTGCATTAGGCTGCCTTTAGGGAGGAAAGATTGCCTTACTGAAGATATTCAAGTGAAGATTGAATGAACTCTACCAATTCAAGGACCTGAGAGGTTCCTTCCAAATTTGAGATACTATGATTCTGTAGTTACAGTTTTCTAGGCCCAGTTCTGACAGCATTTCCTCAACAATATCATGTTATATTTGTTGTATTTCTAAAATTGTGGACAAAAAGATTCTAGTCCTAATCCATCCACCCTGAGCCAAAACCGTTATGCCATTATCTTGGCAAGTACTACATTGCTCAAAAGCAGTGTCTACTGGCACAGTAATAATAAAGTGGTTGGCCTGATTAGAGTTATTTGTAATTAACATATTCCCTAGATATAGTCATAAGTATGCCATACCTGACGAAGGAATAATATATAATAGGGCCTCAGCTCTCAACTGCTTCTCCATTTTAATAGTCTGGTCTTCAGAGTTCCTGGATTTTGAAAATTGTTCCTGCAGTGCTGCTGTGGAAAAACTATGTTGTTTGGTCCAAATTCTCAGATTAAATATATTTCGATGTTTTATAAAATTGTCTTACTTTGAAGCCATTTTAGTTAAATTACCTACTTGATTTCTTACAAATCTTAACCAAATAAAGTAAGATTGTAGAATTAAAAAATTATATTTAGTATTTAACTAACTATGTTATCTTTTATATCTACTAGTCATTGCAATCACATAATTGCAATGACTCTCTGAGTATTGGTCACATTCTCTAAAGAGGTGAACCAGCTATGTTGATGACCTAAGTTGGCCGACCTAAGTCAACCTTTCTGAGCCTTAGCAGTCTCTTTTGTCAAATGAGGCTGTTGGTCTTTCAGCTCCCAAGGTCTTTGCTTCTGTGAATAATGAAACAAGTTAGTGTTAAGGACTAGGGAATAAAATTCTGATTGTCATTGAAGTAGTGCTGACGTTTATCCCTAACACCGGACCTGCCTTCATTGGTGCTCCTTGGATATTGTTAAATAATACTTGCTTCTGAGAGTTTTGAGAGCCCAAAGAGAATAAAATTTATATTTTAAGATGAAAGGTCAGATATTATTTTATGTTGTTCATATCCTTTATGTATAGATAATTTGATGAAATATAAAATTCTCTCTTGGTCCTATATGAAATTTAAATAAAGGAAGGTGAACTTAACTACAGTACTAATTCTGTATAGAGCAGAAAATGGGGATGTGCAAATCAAACAAAAAAAAACCTTTAAAAATAAGTTCACTCTAGAAGTTATGACTTAGAAACCACACTAGTAAGGTGATTCATTACCTTCACCATCATACTTTCCATTTATGCAATGCCTTATAGTTTGTCAAAACACATATATGCACATAATTCCATTTAATCCTCACATCAACCCTATGAGGTAGTCAAAGCAAGTGTTATTATTTCCATTTTACAGAATAAAAAACTGAAGTTGAGAGGTTGTACCTTGCTTGCACTCTCAATTGTAGTAAATGGCAGAGCTCTCCTAGAACTAGACTATGTGACATTTAACCCAGTGTCTTGTCTACTGAACTATTCAAACAAGAGTTTTGTGGGTGGGCATGCCCTCTTCCAGCTTAGAATTCTGCCGTATAGGTTCACGAGGCAGCATTTAGTGTTTATTGACACTTGGGAGGGAGGGCTGTGTTTTATTTTTTATTATATCCAAGAATAGAAACCTTAGTTTTTGTTCCATGTTTTCCACTGACTCATTTGTACCTCCTTTTCTGTTCTCTTTAATATAGTATCAACTCTACTTCAACTCCATTTAAACATGTGTTAAATAAATATTTGCCTTTATTAGGCATTGTAAGCTCATAGCTATCTAAAACAGAGTCCCTGCCCTACAGCTGCATTAGCATAAGTGAAGGCTGTGGAGAGGCAAGAACACTGGTCTGGGGGCTCTTTGCCCTTCCTCTTGTACTGTAACTTTGAACCAGTCACCTCATCTCTCTGGGCCTCAATTTCCTCACCTGCAAAAAGTGAACATTGATACAGCCACTCCTTTTTGGCTTTGACAGCTTGTAGGCCGGTACATAGACTTGTAACACTTGTGGTGTTTCTACAGAGCTGCTCTGGAAGTGCCTCTTTTTTTTTTTTTTTTTTTTTTTTGGTGAGGGCAATTGAGGTTAAGTGACTTGCCCAGGGTCACACAGCTAATGAGTGTTATGTGTCTGAGGCTGGATTTGAACTCAGGTCCTCCTGACTCCAGGGCCAGTGCTCTAACCACTGCTTTTTTTCCTAAAGCTCTGATGCTCACAGAAGAAATTTATTAGCCTTCTCATAGGTATGCAGTTAGAATTTTAGTATGAGAAGCATGTGGAAGGTATGAAAAATGAGAAAGTGAACCGATTCTATCAGGATGGAGTCAAGCAAGCAGGGTTCTTCAAATTTTGAACTCTGTTTTTAAGCATTTCAGAGCTACTCTGGGGGCACTCTTGTTCAAGTACAGGTTGGACTAGATACCTTCTGAATCTCCTTCCAACTGTGAGAGTCTTAGGATGCTGTGATCTTGGTCCCAAGATCTATTAAGTGCTTTCCCCAAGCAGCAGTTTGGGTGTTTCTTGTGAGGTCTGTTGTAATGCTACAGATGACTTTTGTCAATGGTGAGTGTGGACTGCTACAAATTAATAGCCACTTTTTTTGTTCTTGGAAAAGTTACACAAAATTGTATGTAGTAGCTTGGCTAGTAAGGCCAAGTACCAGCCAGTAAGTACTTGGTTACAACTACAGTTAGTTTTCTTGTGTTGATGTCACATACTTTGCTAGCATTGTGGTGATACACCATGATACCAAACCCACTCCTCCCACCCATCAATCTTCACTCTTCTTTCTGGAATATTTGTTTTTCAAAACATCTTTACAACTGTCTCTATTGAGAGGTATTCAAGGAGCCTTTTAGCTAGTGTTGACTTGCCATTGGAGCTTTGTAGTCCCAGGGTGGGACTGGAGGTCGATAATGAGTTATAGAGCCATTCAGCTCTACTTTGCAGTTTTTCCATATCCTTAAGTCATGATATCTGAAGTGGTGAAGAACCCAGAGGATCCTATCTGGCACTGTTAGGCACCTGTGTAAACAAGCTTTAAGATAAAATGAATGAAACCTATTTGCTGCAAGTAGGAGAGGTGTGAGTAATCTGATATTTATCTAAATGAACTTTCCTAGGTTACAGTTGAAAAAGAGTAGTCTGTGAAAAATGGCACAACACTGAGAGAGTTGAAAATTAAGATTGGTTATTGGGAGGATGGGGAGAGTTTTATTATAGTCTGCCATGTCAGCAGAGAAGACTCAGAAATCCTGTAACTTGAACAACTTCAAAAGGAGCTAGCCAAAGCTCCAGAGAAGTTTTTGAAAAAAATTGTTTTTGAATGTATTATTTCTTAAGCATATTATTTCTTTCTTTGTTAGAACGTTTCTTGAGGCCTGATTTTCAGTTTGCTGAGTTCATGTAATTATAGCTTTATAAAATGAAAGAAAAATCACCTATTAAGTTGATTTAACCTTTAGGGGAAAACTGTGACATTTTTAATTTCATGGTTAATTAGAACAAACCTTTGCTCGAGGAGGAAACTGTGGTAATTTGTTACATCACCAGCAGAAATATTGTTTAGGTTTTGTCTTCTTATGTGTTACACATTCAGAAGCTTAAACATACAGTCCCTAAAGTATCATTGCTATCAACACGGAAAACTAGGTGTTCCAGGAACTGTCCAACTGAAAGCCTCACCTTCTGTGTCCAGCCGCGCTGCAGAGCTGCCTGCTCTCTGGGCCTGGCAAGCAGCTCTTTAGAGAGTAGCCTCAGTTACACTGTGCCTTTTTGTTTCAGGTGGTAAGTTCAACAAATGGAGAGCTGAACGTTGATGATCCAACGGGAGCACACTCCAATGCACCCATCACAGCGCATGCCGAGGTGGAGGTAGTGGAGGAAGCTAAGTACGTTCATCTTTCAGGGGGGCTTTTTGACCATGGTTTCAGAATTTTTTTTCCCCTTTAGCCCTCCACTTTGAATATTTGATGCCTGTTTCCATAGCCTTTCTTCTTCGATCTTGCACTTTGGGAGTTGGGGGTGGGTACTTTTGCATGTTACATATTGCTGTTGCTGATCTTTCTTAGCTGTGATGCCTGCAGAATGTCGTTTTTGCCAGGAAAACATATGGCAGAGAAAATTACTGAATCAAAATGATCATATTATAAAGAAGTTCAACCAGTAGTCCCAGGCTTCACAAAACAGGAATGCTTCATGTGGAATGTGTTAAAAAAACGTTCCATAAATTCAGATTGATGGCCATAGTGGTCTTCAATTAGGTCTTAAATCTACTGCCACATCTTCCTTTATAAATCTTTCTGTATCCCCTGATTGAGTGCAGTGTGGCTACAACAAGGTAGATTATGTAAATAATCCTGAGTCTCTAGATGGAGACGAATCTTTGGAAGGCAAGGAATTTATAGTATGTCTCATTAACATGAATGGTTGAGAGAGTTACTGATTTGCCTTTTCTGCTTCTTCTGCATGTATATTTATTTCCCTTTTAGCGTTACCCCTTCTGCATGGTCCATGTTTAAATTCTTTGGAACAGGGGTGTAGAATGAAATGGGGAGGGGGTAGGGAAACATCATTTCCATCACCTTGCTTCCTCTTCCCCATGAAAAAGCAAAGCCAAGTTTGGATTCCAACAAGTGTCTTTTGGGGAAGTTTGCCCTTCGGTTATTTATTTATTTCTGCCAGTGCTAGCCAACTTTGGATGGAAACCTTTAAGTCCTTTCAGTGATTGGTATCCAAATGAATGATCAAGTTGGGTTGCTTTTCTGAAAACACAGCATATTAATAGAATCTTTTTGTCCTGGGTAGTCTCTTGGGCCTTCAGTAGCTTAAATAAAAGTAAAGAAACAACCCAGTCTGAGTGCATTTTCAAAAAAAACAAAAAACAAAAAACATTAACCTGTATCTGCTTTCTTCTCCCATCTTAACATGGGTTTAACATATTTCCCTATTCTGTTCTTGACATTGTTTGCTAAACAGAGTTTGCTTTGAAAGTTGCCTTCCTTTGAATTCTAGAAACTGACTTTATTCTCAGTATGCGGAATGCCACTGAAAATGAATTGGGCTTCAGTTTTCCATTTGAGTGCCCCCTCACTGTCACTGATCTTTACATTCAGTTCATTCTGCTGCCCAAGGGCACCTGCTGCTTTTTCAGTTTCTAAAAGGTACAGTTGACACAGATGAGGGATAGGGACAAGACCTGTGATTTCACTGCTAAGAGTACTGTTCCAAATGACAGAATTGCCGGTCGTATTCTCTAGAATTTCCTAGAGCACTAAGAAATTGAGTGACTTAGCTAGCGTTAACACATCCCATACGTGTTGGAGGCAGGACTAGAACCAAATCTGGCTAGCTTCGAAGCAAGCTCTCTGTCCGTTTCATCACACTGCCTCTGTAATTGCCATAAAGGAAACTAAAGAGACAAACCAAAGATAGTTTTTGGTAGGGGACCATTGTCATTGTAAAGGGACAATCTCCTTATTCTCAGGAAATGTGCTGAATTTTCTTTTCACCATTTTTTCATTTCCCCTGCAAAGCTATAGTAAGCCAGTATAAGGCAGTGTGTTGCAATTTGGCTCAGACACTGTGCCATTAGGATTGCCAACAATGTTTCTCACTCCCGCCACCCTGATCCTCTACCATTTAGAGTACCTTTGTGTAGGAACTGCTTGGAAGCAAGGAACAAAGGAGGGAAAGAAGCAAGCATTTATTAAGTGCCTAGTATGCTAGGCACTGTGCTAAGTACTTTACAAATTTTATCTCGTTTGATCCTTATAACCCTGAGAGGTGGGTGCTATTATTATCCCATTTTACTGTAGGGGAAACTGAGGCAGACAGAGGTTAAATGATTTGCCCAGGGTCACATAGCTAGTAAATGTCTGAAACCAGATTTAAACTCAGGTCTTCTTGAATCCAGGCCCAGCACCTTACCCATTACATCACTTAGCTGTTGTGTTTAGATGTGAACCCATATCATATATGCTACATGTAAAGTATGATAAAAATTTTCTGTGCTTCCCATAAATATAATAAATATATAGGCCATGGGATGATTCCTCTCTCACAAAAGAACAGACTCATTTCATTACATTTTTGGTTAACTCGTACATTAATTGTGTGTATGTGTGTGCGTGTATGTTTTGCATGTGTGATATAGAACTTCCCATACTAGACTTTATTGGAATAATCAAAACCCCCTGGGTTACAGAGATAGTTTGTAAAAACTTTTCTGAAAGTTCCATTGAGCCATTCACTGTGGAAGGACTACTGTTCCTATTAAACACTGTCAGGAATAGATGATCCATAGAATTAGCATGGCCATTTGAGATTGTCTATAGATCCTCAGGTTTAAATTTTATTTTCTAACATCCAGATTTTTAAAAAATTTTTAAAAAATTTTATATGCTAATCACTCTCATAATAGTGACCAATCCATCTTGCTTAGCAGAACTATAGGATGCCACTTTGTCTTAATTCTTTTTTGGCTTTCTATAGGAAAATTTTTAGAGTAACCATAGCCACAAGATCATTCTTCTATATAAGATATTGCAGCAGCCAGAATTGTTTGGATCACCCTGCGTATTCCCTTAGTGAAAACAGTTGTGATATCACTTGCCATTCTTGGGCAAAGTGTAGGTTTTGCTTTGTGTTGAGTCTAATGCTTTGGGACATTGGCAATTTTTAGACTATAGAACTTTACCCCTAAATAGTTGATTTTGGAATACTCATCCATGTTACGATATGGAATTGAAAGAAACATAAAATTACCTTGACTTTCCTTAAAAAAGAAAGGCTCTGATTTCTTCTTTTCCACAAAACAGATGACATAGATAATGATTTGAGTATTCTTATAGGGGAGAAACTTTAGTTTGGGATAAAATAAGTGATCTTGGTGATCCATTGACTTGCATGGAGTAGACATGGTCCCTTATTTACAGAAAATAAGTGAGACTAGTGAAGATGATTACAATTATGCTTATAATAAGACTTAATCAAAATTAAGACTCATTACCATCCCTTTTTTGAATCAGTCCGCTATTACTGACTTGAAGCCAATTCATCTGAAATCTTTTTCACATGCTTAGTGGGGGAAGCACTAATCCACAGCTTCTCCCACGTAAGCACCTATTGATAGAAAACTTAGAGGTGAGAGATTCCTATGCTCCATCTCAGAGTTAGCATAAAGCTAACCTGGTAGCATTTTGTAAGGTCTAAGAGTACTTGTTTTCTTGTTGGGAGCCAGGAACAACCTTTGGACTGCTTTGGTTTCTTCCAGGCAATACCATTTGCTGTCTCCTCAATAGTCCAGATTCCCTTCTATCTCCTAACAGCTTTCCTTAATGGCCCATCCTGGCCTTTCCCTTCAGTTCCTCCACTTTTGCCCCATCCTTCACTGAGATTCTACCGTTTGAATGCTTGTTCGAGGTACTAACTGTCCGTTCTCTTTAAAAACACTTACTGAGTAGCCTATGTCTCCCTCATACCTGCTCCCTCTTCCTTCTCCCCGGGGAGGAGTTAAGCTAAAGTCAGATGTGCACTGCATGTTTGCATGGCTCACAGTAACTCACTTCCATCTCACCTCTGTGAACTAATCTTTCTTTCTCTCTTTCTCTTTCTCTCTCTCTCTCTCTCTCTCTCTCTCTCTCTCTCTCTCTCTCTCTCTCTCTCTTTTCCTTTCTGTGTTTTTCTCTTTACACACTCTGTAGCTGCCTGAAAATGCTCAACTTGTGGTGAGTCCCTCTCTCCAGTCCACATGCAAGGGGAGCGGACCAGACTAGACTGGGATTGGCAAAACCAAACAAAAGTGACTTAGTGACTGAATTGCTTCAAAATGCCACCCTGTGCCATAATTATCCAATCTGGGGAATTATATCCACAAGGTGGGGATGGGGGTAGACAAAGAAGGCCTATACCCAGAAATTAGGCTGTCCTGTGTATGCATTCAAAATCCACCCCCCTAAAAATTCTCATTCCCTTTCTTTTTGGCTTAGTATATTCCCCCCATCCTCCCGAAATTAACATGACCAGATAATGTCAGAAGGAGATGGACAGAGCTGGGGAGTCATAACTGCTCAGTCTCCCCCCAAGGGATTATTCCTCACAACAAAGGAACTGAAAATTGGAAGAATGATGCCTTGCCTAAATGATGTCATGTTCTCTAGCATGGAAATCAACTTCTTTGAAAAAATCAGTGGCTTCTGTTGTTTGTCAACAGGTTCCACTACCTAGGAGTTTATGGGTTTTCTGGGTCCATTGAGAAGAGTGTTACCCAAGTATTGACTCTCTGAGGGATACCTACCAAGGGAGGAAAGGATAATTTGTTTAATGACTCCATCTCTATAAGATCACAGAACATTTAGTCCAGAACTAATTCAGGTGGAATGAGCTGCTAAAATATTGAGTCCTACCTAGCCTTTTTGTCCTGGGCAAAAAAAAAAAATCCTAGAATTTGTCCTGGGAAGTAACATAGAATACATGAAAGGGGGTATCTGAAAAATACGGAAGTGCTAAAGAATCCATGTGTGGTGAGGAATGTTCCTATGAGTGGTTGGGTGACCTTCCTCCCTACCAGCCTTCTCCCTGGACATTGCCTGAGGTCCTCCCAGCCTCTCCTGAGCTTGTCTGTCTGTTGTAGTCTGGGGTTGTATCTCTTCCACATTGTCTGCATGCACAGGGGGTCACATTCTGTACAATGGTCACACCCTTTTGACTGCTTTGTTTCTGCCTGTGTTCAATGACCAGTTTGGGCATCCTCTCCTGAACCCTTATTGACCAAGCCAACTGAAGCACCATGTTGGCCAGGAAATAGAAAGAAAAAAATCCCTTGAAGGGAAAGGGAGGGGGTAATAATGAAATACAAAAATGGGTGTTTTGAAGGTAGAAATCTTAATTCTGGGATATCCATAAGTGAATTTGGCCCCTTATTCTTTTTTGAGTAGATAAATGTTTGTAAGTCTGACTTTGTCATGTTCCATCTCTCCCTTGAGATGTCAGTCATATTTCCCTGAATCAGTAAATAAGCAAATATTTTTGAGTATCTGTTGTTTCCACAACATTGTGCTAGATGCTGAGGGATATACAAAGAAGCAAGGTATTTTATATTTCTTGCCCCTCAAGGAGTTTACAGTCAGTTGAAAAGATGTGTATGCATAAAAAGCCAACCAATGCTATGAGGCAATGAAAAAGTGCCAAAAGAAAGGTCGAGACCATAAATGCTATGGGATGTCAGAGAAAGGGAGAAGCTACTGGTTTTAGAGGGATTTCACCGAAGAACTAAAACTGGAACTGGATTTTGAAGGATTTGGATAGGTGAGGAGGAGACAAGCTGTGAGAAGTATTCCCAGTTCCCATGAGAGAGTAGAAGTTGATAGAGTGAGCAGAAAGAATTCTAGATTGAGAGCTTTGGAAAGTATCTTAGAACCCACCTCATTTCCCTCGTTTGACAAATGAAGAAACTGAGGCCCAGATAAACTGTGACTCGCCCTAAGTGACACAGACAGTGAGTAGAAGAGTCAGGATTTGATTCTTGGACTTCTCTGACTCCAGATCCATCCCTCTTTCCATTAAATCAAAGCTTGGAAACGAGGGGAAAAGCTTATTTCAGCTTGCAATTGATGATGATGCTTGGAGTCTGCTTGGCATATTTGGAACTAAAAGCTGTTTGTATGATCTTTGAGGCACAGAGAATTGGTGTAGAGAGAATCAAACCTAGCTCCCTCATTCTTTTCTGAGATGTGGTAATGCCTACATACATGGATTTAGTGATATCTGATCTAATATCTAGTAAGTAGGACTTTTCCACTATCCTCATTAACTCTTTTGGTAGATATGTCTACAGAAAATAAGGAAGGAAGAGAAAAACAGATTGTGGGGAGTGGTCTTCCGTGGGTGGTGGTGGTGATGATGATGTTGATGATGATGACGATAATGATAATACGTATATAGAACTTTGAGATTTGCAAATGCTTTTTTAAAGTATCTCATTTGATCACGACAATCCTAGGAAGTAGGTACTATTATTATCCTTATTTTACAGATGAGAAAACTGAGGCAGACAGAATTTTTTTTTTAAGTGACTTGCACTTTAAGGTCGCACAGCTAGTAAGAGTTCAAGGATGGATTTGAACTCAGGGCTTCCTGTCTCCAGGTTCAGCGTTCTGTCCAGTAAAGATTTAAAAAAAAGGTACATGTTACGTCTTCATTAAATAGACAAAATCAATTAGATTGAACACATCCCAGCTCCTTAGAGCCATATATTAAAATTCAATGATTCGGCTATGCCACTGTCCTCTACAGGTAGTTGAATTTAGCATCTAACATTAGATCATGATGTGCCAGTTAGATGAGATCTGATAAACAATTTGTGAGTTTTTTTTTCATAAAGGATGAAAACTGACCCATATGTCATTAATTTCCCTGAAGGTCATGATTAACAAAGCTATTAAAATATCAACCCATGGGGCAGCTAGGTAGCGCAGTGGATAGAGCACTGGCCTTGGAGTCAGGAGGACCTGAATTTAAATCCAGCCTCAGAGACATAACACTTACTAGCTGTGTGACCCTGTGCAAGTCACTTTACCCCAATTGCCTCACCGAAAAGCGCAAAAAAAAAAAAATCAACCCCTCACAACTTAAATTGTTTTATTTAACTAACTACTGGATGGTCACTTTAAGTCCAGAAAATAAATGCTAGTATTTGCTCACATTCCACCTTTGACACTTAGTTAACCTTAGTCAACATTGACCAAGCATTAATTAATCAAAGGTTGTTTGGTCCTTATTTTAAAACATTTATTAAGTGCATATGCATCCACGATTTTCTGAAAGCTGTACTGTCTATCACTTATTAACAGTAAGCAACAATATCATTGATGCTACTTGGAGGAAACCTTTCGGAAGGACTCTAAAATCCTCTTAAGTTCTTACCAGTTTTTTTTACATTCAGATGGTTACTACTTATCCCTGATTAATTATTAATTTCCAATTCTAAGAACTTTTCTCTGTTGAAGTTTTGAGTATCTGTTCCTTTGGGGGGGGAATTTTGGAGTTTTGTTTTTTTTTTTTAACTGGGGTCCCTATGTGGAAACTCCAATTGGTATACATGTATACATACATGCATAAATACATAGAAGTGCATTTTTCCTCCAAAAATCCCCTGTATAAAAGTGCAGCCTTAATATTATTTTTCAGTATGTACCTATATGTACTTTTTAACTTTCAAAGAGATCTAATTTTAGGGAGCTCAGCCTAAGTTCAGAGCATTATGAGGTCTTCTTTTTAAAGGAAAATTTGCATTTGACCTATATTTCCAAGGTGTCTGAATGAAAAACGGGGTCTTAACTGCTAAGAAGTTAGCAGTGGTGGGAAAGAAGTAGCAGATATCTGATTCCATTAATATTAATGTTCTGAGCAGTAAACCTAAAATTAAAAGCCTAAGAGAGCCAACTTTAATTACGATTTTCTTTTAAGTTATTAGCAGGTCTGAGTTATATCTGTAATATAGCTTTCCCTTTCCTCTATTTTCCCCACCTGACATGTTCATTTTCTGTGTTTTACCACCCTGGAAGGAGCCTTCTCACCAGCCCCACCATTGCCCTCACCATCCCACTTCTGGACTTCTCATTCACTACAAAAATGACTTTCCTCTTTGTTCCTTCAACAAGGAAATAACGAGGAAGTAGGGGCTGGGGGTGAGCCTCAGGCAAAGGGTATCTCATAAGATCAATGCCATCATTTGGCACTCTAGGGTTTGGCAAAGGAAGCTGGCCCTAAACTCAGCATGGTGTTTTACCCTTAATCCTAAGCATGACCACTTGTTAAACACAATGTGGAACATCAGCTGAAGTCTAGGTAAGGCTATATTTTGCCTTATTCAGTGTCACTTAGCAATTAGTTGTCAGATCAATGATCCCTGAAAGATTTTAAAAGATGTTACTAAGGCGTTCTGATTTCCTTTTTTTCTTTGTTCACTATTAGTAGCATGCTCAAAGGCCCCCATTCTGAGCTGGAGCTTTTCCTGATCTCTCTACCAAGAGGTCCTCGGTTGTCCATTAGATTCTGCAAGAGCTTCAAGCATCTGCTTTCAGTGAGATTTGTGTGCCTCAAGTCATTCCTTACCAATAGTGCCTGTAGATGGTCCTTGCCACCAGTCAGAGTTTTGCTGTTCAGAGAAAAGATGCAAGCAGGGTGTTGTGATGCAGCCCAGCAAATTCCCAGGCCTAATTCTATTGCAAAGAAAAGCAAAGGGGTTTTATGTGGAGAGCTAGAGCCTTTGCCTCTGGTCCCTCCAAGTTTCTGGCACTTGGTGGCCTGCTTTTCAGTAGTGTGGGGGGAGATAGATTGGGTCATTTCAGATGGAGACAGAGCAGCCATGTCTTCAGATTTCCTAGCAGACACCCATCGTGCATGCTCTATGTGGCAGGCTCCTGTCCCCATTGTTGAGGGGAGAGAAGCCCACCACTCACAGGTCAGAGGGGTAGCAGGTGTCTGTTGGGGCTCCAGGCCATTGGCTGACTTGTGTTGTCCTTTGTGCTCCAGGTGCTGCTGTTTTTTTAAGAGGAAAAGGAAGAAGACTGCCCAGCGCCACAAGTGACCAGTGCCTGCCAGGAGTCCCCTCCCCTCCCCCAAGCCCTGGGGACTCTTCAGTTGCACCTGCAGCTCCTGCCATTGCTCGTTAGAAAGGACTCCTCCCTGGGAGGAGAGCAGAAGAGGAGAGGGTGGAGATCAAAAACCAAAAAGAGAAGAAAACAGATGTCCCAGAGGAAGCCAGCATGGGGTTGGCCAGTGCTGAATTGGTTCACCGCTTAATTCCAAGCCGGAGGCTCTTGGTGGGATCCAGATTCCTGGCGGCTCCACCACTGCTTGCACTTGGGGCTGCCTAGTTGACTCTCCTTCCCATTGTTTACAGTGAAGGTGTCATTCACAAAAACTTGACTACTATTCTCTTCCTCAGTTTACTCCTGTGCTCTGCCTTTCCCTCCTCCAATGAAAAGACTCATAAGTAAAGGCTTTATATTCTAACGTAGGGTGAGAGGACCTTCCCAGACAGGGTGGGCAGCTAACAAGTGGGAGAAAGGCAAGCCTGGAGTTGGAGAAAGATTTCCTCCACCTTCCAGGCTCCCATAGTAGAATTCCTCTTTTTGTTCATCTGTGCTGCCACTGATCCCTGATCTGGCCATAGGATGCTGGTTCCTTCCCTCTTTCCCTCCCTACTTGTGATGCTACACTCTGGCACACAAACTATGAGAAATTTGCAATCTACTGTCCCTGTAGAGTTGGTGTTCTTGGCTTTCTTGGTGAACAGGCGCTATTCTCTAAACAGTAATAGGACAGTGCGAATTGTTTTGGAAAAAGAAAAATTGACCTTATTGCACTTTTAATTTTTTAATAACATGGCAGATGCATATTGTGTCTGATTATTTTGGGGTTTTACTTTTTCTTTGTGGAGGGAGTGGGGCTAGTGCAGCCACTGAGGGAGAAACGTGGGTCCAGAGAACATTCTCAACATAAGGATCTTGGTCTTCAGTACTCAGAAAAAAAGAAGCCAAACCTCAAGCCATCTGAACCATCTCGCTCAGATTGGCAAGGTCTGTAAGGAGCCATACTTGAATTTCCAGTCCTACTTCTCAGCTGTCGAATGTCCCTCCCAGAGCCTCGTGACCTGACAGTTCGGTGGCCCTCGCTTGTGTGCATATAGACACGCTAGGTTGGACTGAAGACTAACTTCGGGTAAATGAATTATCCTAGAGAAGCAGATGACCAACCAGGAAATAAATAAAAGAAGTGTGCTTCTCACACAGCATGGGTCCTATCTGGCTAGATAACTGTGACTTCCAGATGACATTGGGGTAAAATTGAAATAAGCACTACCACACATTTCTGTGGGAGAGAAAAAAAAAAAAAACAAGGAGGAAAGCCAGCATGGCAAGGAAAGGAGTGGACTTGTTCTTTGCCTTCTGATTGTGGAATGAAACTGGGGATGTTTGTCAGCAGCTGAAACAAGGCCTGGTGTAGACCATGTCTGCTTACCAGGCTGCTCCTGCAGCCAGGCTGTAGACCCGTGTGATCTGCCTCACATTGCTGTAAGCAAAGCCTATGTACACCTCCCTAGGCAGGTCAATAAACCTAGCTAGCAGCAAGAAACAGTGTCGAGAAATTAAACACTGGAATAAATGGGGAAGGCAAGATTGCTTGGTTCTGGAAAACCTTGGGGAAAAGGGAACTGTAGAGAAAGATTTTAAATCACTTTGTCAATTTATATAGCAGGGATAACTGTAGGATGGGTGGGGACAGTGAGCCTAGAGAGGGGACAGAGATCCCTTCCAAGTAGAATGATGAAGAAACTAGGTCTCCTTCCACTCAAAATACTCTGCACACCATCATTTCATGCTGACACACCACTGGGAAGGGGCTCAACTCTTCCACTTCCTGCGTGAACAGGGCATAATCTAGTTTTAGTATTTTCATTCTCGATTTTCATTGGAATTCAGTGGCTTGTCCAGACAGTGATAAGAAAGTGGTAAGATTCTGGCCTAGCAGCCTAGACTGATTGGCAGGGGGCAGAGGAATTATCTTTATCAGGGAAGGGTCTTATTTTGGGAAGGATGAAGGGGAGGGAAATACTCCCCTTCTCTCGTCTTAGTCTCTTACTGTAGAAGAGCGAGAGAGAGCTCTCTATGAAGGAAGGTGGCATCCCTTGGTCTTAGGATTTTTATCACATGAAAGTCCTGGTCTCCAAATTTTGGATGTACCTTTGAACTTTCAGATGTGGAGGGAGTTTCTAGTAGTTAGCCATTTTCTGCTACCAAGTCTCTTGTTGCCTTACTTGAATGGAGCAGAAGCAGTGCTGGCTAGAGCCATAGTGGGGCTCCAGCTGCTCCAGGAAGACCTGGGCTGGGAGTTTAGCTTCACTGACTTCTTATTTGTGTAGCTCAGATAATAATTGTGATTTTTCTTTTTGTTAATTTAGCAAGAAATCTTTCTACATGTGAAATGCAGAGCAGTAGGGAGGCTCCCTGTTTCCTCCATATCCCCCAGAAGACTTTGAATGTTTGGGACTCCACTTCCTTGCCCTGTTATCTGGTGGTTATACTCCAGTTTGTAAGACTTATATATGGCTTTGTGCTGGTTTTTAATTGGTGCATATGCAATTCTTTTAACTACTCCTTTCTTATCCCTTCCCAAAGAAGGGTCTGCCAAAAGGCACCCAGGAGAATTCTAGAAAAGGGGGCACATCCTAGAAGAGCCTGGTGTGGCCTAGCAATCTCAACTCTAACCAAGTGCCTCTCACCAAAAAGAAGTAAAGGCAGTGTCCTAGCCTTGCCTGGCCACCAGGTAAACCCACCTACAGATGTGTCTATGGCTTTTCTTGGGTCTTAACAGTTTTTCTTTGAAGGGATAGCTCTTGAAGGGTGGGATTTAAGTAGCTGGAGGGCCTCCTTCCCAATGACCTATTCCTCTGATGCCCTCTGAAGATTTAGCTTTCATGAAAGAGCTGTAGAAATGAGGAGCCAGATCCTTAACATCCTGGTAATGTTTCATGTCTGCCCAGGGCCTCTGCTAAAGTGGTATCACACTGCTGTCACTTGGAAGAAGCAACTCGGGAGTTACAGGGTCTTCTGATGAAAAACTGACTGTGGGAGACCTGCCTCCAATGAATATTAGGAACAACCTTCCCTGCATACCTAGAGAAAGAGTTCTCAGACAAGTTAGCAGACAGCTAGCTACAACTCATGAAACAGGGCTTCCTTCCCCTCCAACCCTGTGATTGTCTAACATTGTGGCCTCTAGAAAGAAATTGTTAATGTGTGAAATTCCAAAACCGTTTGCAGTGTCGATTTTAATCTTAATTCCATACTGCAGTAATTCAAACTCTTAAGTCATTTTAATTATTCTCTGGCCATCAGAGATTGACCAAAAAAAACCCAACAAAACATTTATCTTTAAATAACTTTAAGTATAGGAAACTCCCTTTGTTTACTTCTGCTAATCCTATAATACTGTACTGTTGAAACTCACCTAAGCATATGCAGATTGGTGTTAGTTACATCCTAAACAGATGGAGGTCATACTGGAATTCCACCATCTTTCCTAGTCCTAAACTCCCCAGCTATACCTGTTCTCTCTGAACCAGGTAAATGACCCTATCATTGTTGTGGCCAAGTTTTAGAGAATTTTCCCCATTAGCAGGGCAGAGTTAGGAACTGTGTTGCATCCTAAGCATGAAAGAGCCATTCCATCACCACTCACCCTGTCTCCAGATCTGCTCAGGAGCTTCCCACAGACCAGGCAGACTCTTATTTTAGAGTGTCATGATCCCTGCACCAGAGCCCAGGAGACTGAGCAGCTTCTCCCTCCAGCAGTCAGCTTGCTTTTGTAATGGCTTCAGGGAATATTATCTGACTGCTCTCTGACAAAGGGAGCCAAGGAAAGGGAGAGTGTGTATGCTGGGGGGCTCACAGAGAAGAATTTCTGCCTGCTTTAGGCTCACATGGAGAGCTGACTAATGCAGGGGCAAGTAAAACAACAGCTTCAGTAGACAGCCATGGAGGATTCCAGCATGTGAGTAGTGATTGCTTATTTATTCTCAGTATACTTGAAAATGCATTAAAGCATCTGCTGCCCATTAGCCAGAAAAGGTATCTCCTTTTAAAGCAGCTTCCAATATAGCTAAATGGAAAAGTACATATAATGCTCATTCAGTGTTGATTCTCAGTGTTAGTAACTGCTTTTTAACACCAAGAGTATGCAGCACTTGGAACATTACTTCAAAGTGGTTACTAAGGATCACAGCCTTAATTTTTTTTAATGTAAGACATAACCCCTCCTCCTTGCCCAGTGAGCATGGCATGCATTTCTTAAAAGCACTACTTCCAGCAGAGTATTTCCCAAAAGGAACTTGTCTTTTTTCCCTCTTGATGTACCTCCATGCCCAGGCATGCACATACTCTAGACCTCCTTTGTTCCTCTTCCACTACCCCTAACCACTTTTTCTAGGCCTCTCCTTTTCCTGCATTTAAGCCAGTTTTACACACAGGTTAGCCAGCCTGAGTAGTATCTAATGTCAGAGCAGGAGTTGGGCCAGGGTTCCCTGGGTTTGGAGCATGTGATGCAGCCTTTGTGAAACAATTAGAATCCACCAAGGCCAATACTGTCTCTCTCCTGGGCTGCTGCTGCTGCTGCTACTCCTGTTAGTCATGATATATGACCCTAAGGTGAATATGACCAAGCCTAGGAGTCCAGAGAGTTGGAATGATTGCCTTGGTCTCCCTTTCTGCCATCAGTGTGTGCTTTAAAAACAAAGGCACTGCCTTGAAGGAAGCTGCTTATCCACAGACAAACCAGGGCCTGGTCACCTGCACAGAAGCCTTATGGATATCTCCTAGGCCCCCAACTCCTAGGGTCTTCACCACGAAGGATCAGTTAGGAATCTAAAGTGTGATTTTTTTGTTTTTTATTTTGTTTTTGGTTTTGTTTTTTAAAGGAAAGGAAAATGTGACCCTTTTGAGGGTACTTGAAGTTTTGAGCAGTGTTTTAACCGCAAAGTAGGAATTTTGATGTACTTGACTAATTAAGCAGTCTTAAAACATTGGTATGTTTTCTTTAATTCCATTTCCAGGTAACTGAGTGGAGAAGAACTGGTTTCTCCATTGTACTCAAAACAGTAGGTAGATTTAAATTCCGCTGAGTATAGCCAGTGGAAAGCATATTTCCCCAAATCAACCAGAAAATCCACTCCAGTATTTGTGTGTAGATCAGCCTATGGAGAAAAAAGTGAATGTGTATTTCATGTATTTCTAGTTTGATTTACCAAACTCATTGTTATAAAAAAACCTCAGTTATCTAAACAAGATTTTTTTTTCAGTCCAGTAAAATTTCTGATGCCATCATTGTCTGCAAGGTGTCACATTAGAGAAGTGTCCCTGGTAGCATATGGGGGTGGTCCGTAATCGTCCTCCTGCTAATAAATACCAGGAATGTGGTGGTCTTGACAGTCAGCTTTCTTCTAACCCGCCCCACCATTGTGCACGTGACCTTTTTCTTTTTCAGTGTTCCTCTTCTTGAGCTCTAGACCAAATCCCAGGTTATCTCTTGCACAGAAAGCCTTTAAAAGGTTTGTCAGTCTGTTAGGAATGTCTCAGGAAAATGAGCCATTTCTTTGGGGGTAGGGAGTGGAATTATATACTGACGTGTGTGTATGTATGTATGTATGTATTTCCTAACCCTACCTACTTACAGCTCAAGCTGCTCTAAACTGTGTTCCTGAGTATTCTCCGAAGAAAACAAATGATAGATGAGTGCAGCATGCTGATCCTGGTAAAGATTCTCATTTGTCGAACAGAAAGAAGAGTAACAATAGAAAATATGTAGATGATACCAAAAAATATTTTAACCCCCCATGGAAAATAATATTAAGTCACAAATTCCCACTGGATATATTGCAAGCTATAATTTATTTTGTTATTATTTTGTCTATTTCTTTAACTGTTGCCCTTGTACTTTCAAGAGGGGATGTTGGGGATATCGATTGCAACTTTTTTTTTAACTGTAAAATGTATAAATCAGCTGTGGAAATCATTTTTTAAATTGATATCGCGTGGATGTGTCTGATTCTTGTTAAATGCCTTTTTGAGTTTTTTATCTTTTATTTTAAATATGTAATGCAATATTTTATTCATAAAACCCTGGCACTGGTCTCGAAGCTCAGCTGTGAAAATGAAACTTGTAGTATTTTTTAACATGAATGTCAATTTAAAGTGTATTTGAAATGGTTCTACCGGGATAAGGGCTTATATACCACTGGGAAAAGCTCCTCCCAGGGGGGAGTGGCTTTCTTTGGAGAACATGGGTCCTGATATCTTTGTCTCTGAATTGCCCATTTCCTAGGGCAGCAGGAGAAATACAAATGTGATCTTAAAGTACACCTCTTCCCCACTTTTGGGAGGGGAAGGGACTCAGTTTGCACCCTTTTTGTATGTAAAATAAAATGTCTTACCTTTCAGGCTGGTCCTATTTAGTTTTTCTTTTTCTTTTTCTTTTCTTTCTTCCTTCCCCCCCCCCCAACCCCCTTTACGTTTCTAGGGGCTAACACTCAAGCCAGGACCAGCCTTGGTGTGATTTAGGTTCTCTGCTCATCTCCCCACCCTGGTGCTGCTGAGACTCTGGCATTAGTCTTTTCATTCCTTACGAGTGAAGCCTTGTCCTCTCCCTGAGGTCCTATCTTACGCTTTTTCTGGATTGGAATATTACATGAGTTTCAGATCACTTTTGTTAGTAACCTCTGTTAGTATAAAAATGTTAGATTTGGGGGAGGGGGGAGGAGAAATCAGCAGCTGAGGTGGGGAAGTAACGGCTGCTCTGATCCAGTTTTTTCTAAAGTGGAGATGAAGTCCATCGTGTGGTTTAAGAATAGGAAAAGAATTGTCCTCTGTTCCAAAAGGCTCTGCACAAATTGAATCTAGTACGAACCAAGTAGAAGAGAGGACCTTTGAACTCTGGTGTAGCTAGTAACTCCAGGTTAATAGTGTAGGAAACACTAAGTTGCACTTTTTCAGGACGGTGAAAATGTAGCTACATTAGCTCAGCTACAATTTAGGAATGAGTCCAAATCTTGACAGTGCATGTATCTTCCAACAATTGAAGACTGAAGTAATCTTATTCTCTGTGTGGCAAGTGTGTACATCTTCTCACCCATCCCCATGCTAAATCCCCTACAGTTTTTGACATTGTATGTATAATTCAGTCAGCAACAATTCAATTCAGCAGATACTTTTTGAGCACCTATTTAAGTGCAAAGCGTTGTGGGCTTGTTAATGGAGATGGAGACAAACTCATAAAAGGAAAAGTCCCTGCCTTCAAGGAAGACTGTACTGTGATATTGGATCGGAGGTTGGAGTACCAGAGAAGAGGGCAACTGTCCAGAATTGAGCCATTTGAGAAGGAAAAAACATACACAAAACTCCCACAAAGTTAGAGAACAAAAGTATATGAAAAAGTGGAAATATGGTGGGAATTCTTTGCCCTATAAAAAGGAAAGAACAACGGGCTAGTCTCCTAGGAATGCTTAATGAAGGAGGTCAGAACAGCCATCTCGAAGCCATACCCATGATCATTTAAGGGAGATTTTGATTGAATTCAGGTGTCATAAATTTCCAGTTCTTCAATTTCCTCTGACCATTTCTAGGCAGGAGAGTACCTGCCAACCTGCTGCCCTGTTGAATTGATCATAAACCCGTCAAGGCAGTTTTTTCTGGTCTCATTTAAATATTTTTTTAAAAAGTAAAGCATATTTTCCTTCTCAACAGCTTTAGGGTCAGATGTCGGCTCCAAGCCAACTTCATCCACTTGGAAGCCATTGTTTCCCATTTCCAATTTTCTCGACAGCCTTGAAGTAACAGTAAACACAACAATTTTAAACTGGCTGGCACCTTCAAATTCATGGTACCCTTCAGGGAGCCGGTCATGGAGATTAGAGACGTGGACTTTGCTAGTCATTTTACTCCCCAGAATAGCATTCTTAAAACTTCCCTGAAGGATTTAGAATATAGTGGAACAAATGTTGAGTTTGCCGTCTGAATTTGAAACCCGCCTGAGATGCAAATTCAGGCTATGCCTTGGATGATTAGTAGGAAGTCTAGGAGACGGGGTAGGGCATTGTAAAACGAGAGACGTGTGAACAAAGGTGCAGTGACGGGTGAATGAGCCTGGGGAATGGGGTAAGACCACCGCCTATCTTTAAATTAGACAAATGAACCCAAACGACCAATTGTCCAAGAGGACAAGGTACGCCTTCTAAGGACATCATCCGTGTTTGAGGGAAAAGCTAGCAAGCCAAATTGCATGGAGCTCATTGGTGGTTTGGTAGCAATCCCAGGTTGGTGACAGAGGGAGTTGTTGCTTTGCGTACGCAACGTGATAAATGCTTCCATCCAATCCCCCAGTAGTGTGCACGCCCAATCCAGCAGCCTAGGGTGACCGGGCGCCTAAACAAGGAGGGAGGGTTCCATGCCCGCCTAGGAGTCTCTCTTTGTGCTGAGGCGTCGTCCAATCACAGTGTCTCTTTATCTCCTGTCGTCACTCTCTGCCCAGTTGTTTTTCCTATTGGTGAGTATCAGTAGAGAGCTGTCAGGGTTGGCCAGCCGGGGAGCCCAATGAACTGGTGAGAACGTGGCAGCCACCTAAGAGACCGCGTCCGCTCCGGTGAGGGCTCCGAGAGCTTTGTCTCCGCCCCCTGGAGGGATTCTCTATCTGACGCCGGCTGAGGGGGGGGGGGATCTTGTATCTGTGGTCCTCGAAGCCCGGGAGTGAAAACCTCGGCGCCCCCATTTTCCGGGTATTGTGGTGACGGCCGGAGGAGGGGCGGTCCCCCCCACCCCGCCCCGCCCGCTTCCTGCCTCCGCGTTCCCCAGGCCGCGGCCGCGCCCGCAGGTTTGATGCTGCGTCTGACGGAGCGGAACATGAAGCTGCTCGTCGTGGCCGCCTTCGTCTTGGGCTCCGTGCTCTTCTTGCTCTTGCCGGGATTCTCCGCAGCTGACGAGAAGAAGAAGGGACCCAAAGTCACCGCCAAGGTCTGAGCCAGGCGGGGAGGCCGCGCGCCTTCATCCGGTCTCTGGAGTCCCTCCTGCCTCGCGGCCCGAGACCGGGCGGACGGAGGCCGGGGCCCTCGTGGTGGATTCCCTCCTTTGGAGCCGGGATGGGTGGGGGCGGCGGGCGGCGGGGCGGGAAGCGCCTTGGGGGGGCCCAGGGAGGGAGCCCCCAGGGCATGTGCGCGCTGAAGCATCCCAAGAAAACGCGGGCCCCGAGCTCGGGTCTTCGGAGGCCAGTTTGAGAGGAGATCCGCCTCCCCAGAGGCCCCCGGTGTGTCTGCACCCAGTCCATTAATCATGGGGTCCCTGCAACCAGGGACGAGCGGAAACCCCCCATACCCGTGCAAATGGCCGAACCAGCCAAGGCCGGTGGCTCCAGTCTCAGACTGACACAGGACCAGTTTATGACATTGACCTTGTTCATTCTCAGTGCTTCGAGAAAATGACTTTATTAATTCGGGATGATTTTTCCCCCCTTCCCTATCTCACAGTTTCTAACTTGCCTTTTCATACGTAACTCCCAAGCTAGCAGATGATAGTAGACATTTTAAATTCAAAAGTTATATACAAGCACGGTTTGAAAGTGCTTTGGAGCTCTTAGGGAGCTTATGGTTGCCTGTTCCTTCCTACTGTAGAGCAAAAAAGTTTGGTCTCAGGACCCATTTTATACCCTCAAAAATCATTGAAGACCCCCAAAGAACTATTTTTTTAAATGTGGGTTATATCTATCGGTGTTTACTATATTCAAAATTACGACCGGTAAAATTTTAAGATATTTAAAATGACCATCATATGTTAACATAAATAATGTTTTATCTGCTTCTGCATTAAGTTTATTGTAATATGTTGTTTTGGTTAAAGTATATGAAGAAAATCTGGCCTCACATAGATACGAAGTTGGAAAAAAGAGTATTTTAATAGGAACTAAGGCCTTAGTATTATATTATATTATATTATGTTAGTATAGAATTAGTATAGAATGGTGTTATATTATATTAGCATAGAAAATAGTTTTAAGCTTGAAGAACCCCCAGAAGGGTCTCAGGAATCCCCTTTGGTCCTTCAATCATACTTAGAGAACCACTGCTGTAGAGTAACTTGGCCCTGACCTAGTGAGGCAAGTAAGAGTCAAGACATTACTCTAATTCACTTATATTAGTAACCAGTGGGCACACCTTCAATTCTCTACCAAGAACTTTTCTCCAAAGCTCAAGAAAAGAATAAAAGGGGGAAAAATGCTAATAATACTTATAATAATCTGTCTATTTCAGGTATATTTTGATCTACGAATTGGTGATGAAGATGTAGGCCGAGTTGTCATCGGTCTCTTTGGGAAGACAACTCCAAAGACAGTGGACAATTTTGTGGCTTTGGCCACAGGAGAAGTAAGTGGCAGGGACTTGATCCCAGGAGAGTGATGGGCCCAAGTTTTTTAAGCTGCAGGGAAGCTAGTGCCACCTGTTTAAAGGGGGGGGGGCATTCTAACCTATTTGCCATATTTGTTTATTGTTTATTTGTCTCCCTGGCTCTCATCATAACAAGAGAGTATGATGTAAAATGAGGGACTCTCAGTTCCTCAGCAATGCCCAGAAATAAAATTGGTCTTTCTGAGCAGTGCCATTGGAGAAGAGTCTATCTCGGACCCTTCACAGATTGGCCTGACAGCACTAAGCCTGCTTGCTCCTCAGCACAGCATCTAGCAACATAGGGCGGGGATTTGCCTTTGAGGGGCTTCTCTACATCTGCTGTGCTTGTGGGCTTATTGTCTCTTGCAGATTCCTTACTTTGCATCCTTTTTTTCCAGAAAGGATTTGGCTTTAAGGGCAGCAAATTTCATCGTGTGATCAAGGACTTCATGATTCAAGGTGGAGACTTCACCCGGGGTGATGGCACAGGAGGTAATATCAAACCTGAACTTTGGGTTTGGCTTCTCTGAGAAAAGAAATTGTTGCTGCTGCTCACTGTGGGAGTATTGGGCAAGATTTTGTAAAAGAGGTTATATATCTTCTTTCCCTAGTTCCTGATAGATATACACTTGCCTCCACTGGGGCCAGCCATGCTTTTTTTAATCCTATAGAAATCCAGCAGGGATGGGGGAAATGGCGTAAGAGTATCTCTCACAGTCAGCAGATATGCTAATCTAGGCCTTATAGCACCTTGCTAATTAGCAGCTTCCAGCATAGCAGATGAGTTCGCTGTCTTGGTATTTCATGGAGAATCCTAGATGAATGTAGTAAATCATAAGTCAGGCTTGTTTAAAGGGGGCGGGGGCTGTTATTGCAGAATAGCATCATCTTGTTGTGACTGGGGGCATTTATGTGTATTACGATCTCATAGCCTATCCTTGATGCATTTGAAAAAATTCTATGTTTCCAAAAAGATATTTTGCATGCAATGTAAGATCCCTCTCTCTTTCCTCTCAACCACCTCTCACCCCAGAAAAAATAATCACATTTATTGAGCATCTCCTAGGGACAGTGCATGTGCTAGGCTTTCTTGGACCTATAAAATAGTACTTATCTCAAGGAGCTTACAATCTAATTGGGAAGCGACATACACATGAAAAATTAATTTAGCTATTTTAGTAATTACAGAAATTACTAGACCAGCCGTGAGTATGAGATTGACAAATTATTTTTATTCACAGTAGGTGTGGGGAAGGACAGTGGTGCTTAGAGAAGAAATGGGTCTTGAGTCTAGTTTGGGGGGAAAAGATGAGGAGGGGTCCTAAGTAGTGTAAGCAAAAAATACAGAAGCAGTAAAAGTGATTGGGAGGTGAGACCAATTTGACTAGATGGAAGGAGTTATGTAATTGGAGGTAAGAATCAGCAGGCATTTATTAAGAGTCTACTATGTGCCAAGTACTGTATTTGGCATTGGGGATACAAAGACAAAAATCACATTGTAAGCAGCTTTCATTTTATGGGGGTGGGGTGACAAACATGTTCATGCACATACAAACACCACCTTTGGGCAAGGGATGGTGAGTAGCAACTAGGAAATATGGTTGGGTCATAGTGCTTGTGGAGGGGAGTAGCATGTATGATTGGAAGGGTAGGAAAGGGCTAGTTTGTGAAGGGTCTTGAGCGTCAGAAAAGTCAATGTTTGATTCTGAAAATAGCCTCTGGAGTTTGAGCAAGGGGATAAGGTGGTAAGATCTGTACTTTTGGAAAATCACTTTCATGTGATTTCAGTGGAGATGATGGAGTGGGGAGAGACTGAGTGAGAGGCTGTTGCAGCAATCTAGGCAAAAAGTGATGAGGACTTCGACTTGGGTAGTGACTGACTTCAAGTAGAAAGACATGGATCCAGGAGATGATGTAGAGATACAAAGGACAAAATTTGGCAACTGATTGATATGAGGTGTGGGTGAAAAGATGACATGGGGGTTGTAATTTAGGTGGTAGAAGAGTGGTGGTGCCCTTGAGAGGTAGCCAGAAGAGGTACTCTTGATCTGATTGCAGAGCTTATTAGATTGGATTTTATTCAATAAATAGTTGAAGAATCATCAGTATTTTATCATATAATAATCATAATCAAAGTTGTGTCTTAGGATGATTAAGGGTATATGGATAAAACTGGAAGTAGTACGAGACTAGAGTTTTGGAAACTAATTATAGAAGCATCTGTACTACTCCAGGTATAAAAGTAATGATTGGGTTTGAAATTGCATGGTAGCATTGGGAATGGAAAAGGAAAAAATAGATTTCAAAAGCATTGCAGAAGAATAATTAACAAATATTTGTGAATATCCAGCTTAAAGGTCACCTCTGACACTTAACAGCTGTTAAATCATAGTTAAGTCACCTAGTCTCTTACTCAGCTTCCTCATCTGTGAAATACAGATATATTATCCTTACAGTATTGTTCTGAAGCTTGAGTGATAATGTTAAAAGGATCTGGATTATTATTACTGTGTTTCACCACATAATTGTTGCCACCACATAATCATTGCACCCTGTTTTTTTAGTCCAAAAATTGTTTTATAACCTTTCATCACATAATTATTGCATGGTACAATTCTGTTCATCATGCCACTTAAAAGGTAAACAGAGCAGCAATGTATTCACCAGTGGCATATGGATATGCATTTATTTCTCACACATTGCAAGCGTCGAGCCTAGAATTCTCAGTGCACTAGCATTGTCAGTATTCAATTTTAATGTATATTCATGAATATTCCGTGCATCCTAATCTTGCATCAAAGACAGGTTAGTAATAAATGTTTTTAAGTAATACCAGTGCAATTAAAAAAAAAAGAACTTCACATAATGGTCGCACCCCACTTTTTGCAAAAAAAAAAATTTTTGGCATAAAATCTGCAACAATTATGTGGTGAAATACGGTATTTTACAAGGTCAAGAGATAAGAGAGAAACAGAGATAAGTTTGATGTTTTGAGACCAGGTAAGCTGTGATAACCAATAAGAGAAACTGGGAAGTTGCAAGTGGCTACAGTTTGTAGAGTTTGGAACATACTGAGCGTAGAACCTCCAAATGTTCACCAGGCAGTTTAAAATGCAAAATGGAAGCTTGAAAGGTCAAGAATGAAGGTATTGACTTGGGAAGAGAATATCAAAAACCTTTAACTAAAACCAACATTTATTAAGTACCACAATGCTTCCTACCTGGCATTTTGCTAATATGTGAGATGACGATTGACAAAGTTTCTGTCTTCATGAAGCACATAATATGGTATAAGAATATGCCAACTCTAGTACACAAAGATACATGGCAAGTGTATGAAAAGTGCAGACCACCTACTGTGGGGAAGGGGAACCTAAGAGAAGGGAGCATTTTGAATTGGAGCTCAATGGCAGGGTAGAATTTCAGCTGGTAGAAGTGGGGCTGGGGGTGGCATGAGGGAGGAATAAACATTCTAGGTGTAGGGAACAAAAGTAGAGAAAGGAAAGACCTACTGTCAATTCAGCTAGTTTGACTGGAGCAAAGAAGCACAAGACAATGTGGATAAAAAGTTTGTGTAGCACCTTGTATGGCAGATCAAGAAGTTTGAACTTACACTGGGGAAGATAAGGAACTTTTTGAGCTGCAGAGAGATCAGATATGTGCAGAAAGATAATATGATAGCTTTGTGTGAAGGCTAGATTAGAGGAGAGACTATCCATTTCTTTTGTTCAGATGAGTGGTGATGAGGGCTTAGGGAATGGATTCTCTGTAAATAAAAATTACAGAGAAAACACTGAACCTGACAACTTATTTCCACCATCCAAATCCAACGATAAGACCAACGTTTTCAACCTAGGGTGTTGGATGAACTGGCAGAAAATAAGGAAGTGAGAAGAAGCAGATGACAGAAGATGGATCTATTTATTTTGTGACATATTGAATTTATATCTGTATAACGCTAAGAAGGAAGATCAGATCTGAAGATAAGTAATAACTGGGGAATCATCTGCCAAGAATGGATGATAGTTGAAGCTGTTCAAATAAATAATATGTTCACAAAAGAGGAGGGCCGGTGAGAAAGACCAAGGGTGGTATTTGGTCATGCAAGCCTAAAAGATTATAAAAGTGGGAGAGAGGGTTAGATTAATAATTTTTAAAGTGAGAGAGGTGTAAGGGACTAGAGAAAACATATTAGATCAGCCCCCTCATTTTTTAGGTAAGGAAACTTGAGGCTCTGATCAGTTAAGTGATTTAACCAAGGATCACACAAGGAGTAAACAGCAATTCTGAACTTTTTTTTCAAAATTTTATTTAAAGTTTTGAGTTCCAAATTCTATCCCTCCCTTCCCCCCTCCTCAGACAATAAACAATCAGATATAGTTTATACACGTACAGTTATATAAAACATTTCCATATTAGTTATTTTGTACAAGAAGACTTGAATTTTTAAAGATGAAAGTGAAAAATAGCATGCTTCAGTCTGTATTCAATCAATATCAGCTCTTTCTCTGAGGCGGATGGTATGCTTCAATATTAGCCCTTTGGGATTTTCTTGGATCATTGTATTGCTGAGACTAGCTAAGTCATTCATGGTTCTTCCTCGAACAGTATTGCTATTACTGTGTACAACATTCTCCTGGTTCCATTCACTTCACTTTGCATCACTTCCAATTCTGGACGTTGAACCCACATCCTCTGGTTCCAAATCCTCTTCATAACCAGGGATTGAGGAGTGTGTGAATGTATGATTAAACAAATAGAAGCATTAGATATAGACTGCTTTCTTTCAAGAAGTTACGGATTTTTAAAAGTTATTACTTTTTTTAATATCAGTCATTTTCCAGTATTCTCCCTTTCCTCCACCAGTATCTTCATTGTAACAAAAAAAAAAATCAACCAACAAAGTAACTGTATCTCTTAGTGTAGGTAACAATATCCATAGCAATCTCTGTACCACCACCCCTCCCACCCTTCCCCAGAGCAAAGAGATGTTTCTTAATCTGCCTCCTAGAATTAGTATTGGGTACTATATGTATTATTATAGTCAAAGTAGTACTCTGATAGTTCAGCTTTCTTTGATCTGTATCAGTTATGTCACTTCATACAAGTCCTCCCATTTTTCTTTGAATTCCTCATTGTTTTATAGTGCAGTGATTTTTCGTTATATTTTGTGCTACCATGTGTTAACAAGCCATTTTTTTCATTCAACAGGAACCTTTTTAAAGCCTTTGATAAGGGAAAATCTATATGTAAGGAATAGACAGGAAGTAAAGGGGAAAGGGACAGTGCCAGAGTTAAAACCCACTAGGGAAAATGGAGCAATAGGCCAGGGTCAGGAAGAAACGTTAGGCCCATTTGTAGGAGAACTCCATCGTTCAGTCCTCCAGGCTGTTCAATGCCAGGGTAATGGTGTAGGTAAGAAAACACATCTCTTCTCATTTTCCCTCTCCCTAGCCTTCTAGCAGCTGGACTTAACAAAAGCTTAGCAGTCATGGTCAGCTTTGCTTTCCACCAAAGCGTTTCTCCACCTGTCTGCTCTTTGCACTGCTGTTGCTGTATATTGGAGTGTCAGGAAGGTCATGGTTTGCAGAGGTTCATCTCTTAAAAGATTTCCGTGCTCCTGATTTCATTCCGCAACTTTTCTCCCATATATACTCCTTTCTTCCTTTCATTCTCTCTTAAGCTTCGTTAACAGCTTAATCCATATATTTCCAGCAGCTCTCATTATATTTCCATAAACATTTTGTTATTTATGATTTTCAGTATTCAGTGAGATTTGACAATAGTTCCAGGAAAGTAACTACTTTCTGTCCCGATTCTTTCATGTCAAGCTTGCTTTAGGTGTTCTACATATACCAAGGTGTCTCTGCCTCTTGCACCAAATTTGATATTACTTTTCCACTCTAACCCAGGCTGTGCTTTCATTTGTAGGAAAGAGCATCTATGGCGATCGCTTCCCTGATGAGAACTTCAAGCTGAAGCACTATGGGCCGGGCTGGGTGAGCATGGCCAATGCTGGCAAGGACACCAATGGCTCTCAGTTCTTCATCACCACTGTCAAAACACCATGGCTGGATGGCAAACATGTGGTGTTTGGCAAAGTTCTAGAAGGAATGGTAAGTGGTAGGGGCTGGGTATACGGGGCTCCACCTCCTCATTCATTAACTCTGTGGACAAACCAGAATGTGGTCATCCTTGGTCCTGCCTGGCTGGATGCTATGCTTCAGTTACCCTAAAGAGACTACGAGTGGGAGAAAGCGGAGTAAAACTGCCAAGATGGGACTTAGGCTGTCCTCCTCCTCTGCTGGAGACATGTAGCCTTACAGTCTCTGAATTACTGTGAGCTGTCACTCTTGGTTGTGACTCAGGATTGCTTATGTTAGCATATGCCTTGAACCCTTCTCCTTAACCTCAAACCCTGCAACCTTTTCCAGGCTCTAAGCCAACCTAGGGTATGGTATGCTGAAGAAAGAGCAGATTCTTCTTCTTCTTCATACCAAAGTGCCTGCTACCTCCTCCTTTGCCTAGAAATAGGGGATAACAAAGTGGTACATAGTAGGAATGTGCTGCACAAGTCACCAAAGCTTGGTAGCAGGATAATGGAAAGTTTTGGCTTAAAGCCACAACATCCTTGTTCTTACTTGACCCTTTGGATAGAAGCTCAGCAGGAGCATTATTTCTTTCTGTCTGGAGATCAGTTCTCTGGACTAGATAATACTGACCTCCTTCTTTCCCCTCCTCCTTATTTTTTTCTTTTTTCATTTATCAGGATGTGGTACGAAAGGTGGAAAACACCAAGACAGATGGGCGGGACAAGCCCCTGAAGGATGTGACAATAGCTGACTGTGGCACAATTGAAGTGGAGAAGCCTTTTGCCATTGCCAAGGAGTAGGGTCCCCTGGAGACCTGCTATATAGGCTGTGCAGGAAGCTGTCCCCTCTCTGGGGACTGAAGCCTGGTCTGGTCCCTGTTCCAGCCCTGGGCTCCTAGTACAGCCCGTGGTGCTGACATCTGACTGAGCTGACCCAGAATCCATCCTCACATTCCCCAGCCCCTCAGGCCCAGTTTTGTAAAGAAACACATGCCAATAAAGAAGAAAACTTTTTTTTTTTTTTATAGAAAGCGAGTGGGCTGGGTTCATCCCTTGCCCTTAATACGCATCTAATCTTAGCCCAACCTAGACCCCCTTCCCTCCCACCTGAGGGAAGAGCAGGGCTTGTTTCCTATAGAACTAGGTACCTTCCTTTGCCCTCTCTCCCCTTCTTTTCTGCCCTCCCTTGGATGCCTTTGGAAGCAGACCGGAGAGCTATTCCTGCCCTGGGCTAAACTAGACCCGGACCAGTGGCTGCTGGGCAAGAGGATACCTTCCAGTCCTTACTCTTTCCCTTACACTGTCTAGCAATGCACTCCCAAAGAGTGGAGCTTCTGCTTCACTGGTCAGCATCCAACCTCATTCTCACCTCCATCCTCTCACCCTGTATAATGCCTAAGCCCTTGCTTTTTTCTCACTGTGGTTCCTTTCCTCCGATATAAACAGCCCATTCTTTGTTTTCTTTGGGCTCATCCCTAAGAGAGACTCTCCTTTTATTCTGTGTTCTTCCAATCTCGAGGGGTACAAGTGTTCGTGTCCCTCAGCATTCACCCATCAATTAGGGTCACAATTGGAGAACTGAAGGTGGAACAGGGGCCTGCCAAGTTCCATGTTAGTGCGAGTTGTGTCCTATCAGAAGAGTTCAGCTTTGAGCTTGTGGTCTCTTTGGCCAAGGGTTAGGGTGCTGCAAGGAAGAGTGGTCTGGTTGACAGCACAGCTGGTGGGGATGTTCTATATTCCCTTCAGGGCCCCGGCTGTAGTAAGGGTGGTATGAAATAGGGGTCCTTCAGCTGGGCCACAGTGGGGCAACCACTGCAGCCATAGAAGCCCTGCAGCACACCGTTCACCACCATGTTGGGGATTGGCTCTAAAAGAGGGGGAAAAAATCCAGGCTGAGTAGAACGGATCAAAGATGTTGGCTACTAATTCTGTAGTGTAAATGTGCTTACACTGTATTCCTATGTTGTCCTCACACCATCCTTCCTGAGGAAAGCGTTTTTTGTTAGCCCCAGTTGAAAGGGTGAGAATAGGACTCATTAGTTGACTTCTCCAGACACAGCTAACAAGTATCACCAGGGGGAAAGAAGTCAGACTCGGCTATCTATCCCTGCACCCATAAACTAGCCCCCTCACTGCTGAAGCCTGTTCCCTTTCTAGGTGGGAGTAAAGGACAGCTCCCAAGCAGTGCCTTCAGCAGTCTAATTATTCTGCTTCTGGTTCCTGAGCATCAGCCAGGCCAGATGTGGGGGGCTACAAAGGAACACCAAGTCAATCTTCTTAATCTATCCTAAATGATGATACTCTTCACTCACTGGCTCTCAAGTTGGAACTGCTGACAGCCTCAGAAAAGGAGTCAGGCATGTGTGGTACCCCCAGGAGCCTTGGGGAGTAGAACCATGCCACCTGGCTTATGCATTCATTTCAGATGAGCCTGGTTCTAGGAACTGTCCTTAGTGCTGCCAGAGCTTCCTCTGGTTTGGGTCAACCGTCAGGCCAAATGCTACTGGAGGAGATGCAGGGATGTCCTCCCTTCCTGCTCGGTGCCAATACAGATAGTAGAGGCTTCAGAATTACTACATCTTCACAGCTCTTGACGTTTTACTTACCTGAAGAAGGGCTTTGAATGTATGGATCCCTGTGGAAGTTCAAGACTGGTCTGTGGGGTAGCTGAGCGCTACAGAGAAAAGAGGTTGGTCAGATCTAACTACTTCACAAAGCCCCATTTGTGCTTGGGATTTAGTGTCTTGAATGGGACAGCTGGCCACCAAGAACATATATGCAATTGGAATAGGACCTAGGAACCAAGGACCCGAGACGCTAGGGACTTTGCATTCTTATACAGTCGCTCCAGAGAATTTATGGAAGAGTATAAAAAAATCGCATAATACCAAGTATGGTCTGGGGGGAAATTGTTGGCTGTAGAGTCTCCAGCTCTGTCACTTTTGTGACTGAGCAAATCACTTCTCTTTGGGTCTTGATGACCTAAGGAAGATCCCTTCAAGCCCAAAGTCTGATGCTTAAAACAGGCGAGGTAAAGATTTCCATCTGTACCATCAGAGGGAATACCCGCGTGTGACCACAAGGGGGCAGCAGGCGCCTCTGAGACCAGAGTCCCTGGCCAGGGAAGCCGGTCAAGGGCTAAGAGGACTTCGCCGAACTAACCTGAATGCTGTTGCAGGGCATGAACTCACCCAGTAAGCTGAAAGTTAGAAGAGGCCCATGAATGAGCACTGCCAGCCCCTCTGAGCTGCAGCTGAACCAGGGAAAGCCCCTGCAGCTCTCTGGGGAGAGGAGTTCAAGGAGGGGGGTCGAGACAACCGGGAGAGGAGCTGGCCTCTGGGGACCCCTGCTTCTAATGAAAACGAACTTATTTACTAAGTAAGCTGCTGGCTAGCTGAAGAGTGAACAGGAGGAAGTTTTAAGGCTAAGAGTCCACCCGGAAGAGCGCCAGCACCAGGGGTAAGAATCAGTTATGTGACAGAAGGAATATTTGATCAGTGTTAAGAGGAGGGAGGGCAACAAAAGCCACAGAAAAACCAGCCACGGGTTTGGTCTGGTCCCCAAGACCAGCTTTTGCCTGCTGTCTTAGGCCCCAGATCTCCACGGATGTCATTAAGGGACTAGCTGAAGACATACCAGAGGACCCTTCTCCACTCCCACCCTAAGCTTCCAGAATCCACTCACTCCATGCTGCTGGCCTTAGGGTCTGAAGGGAAACGTCGAAGTTTCAGGAATTCCAGCACCTCCTTGGGGACTTCCTGATTGAGATACAGGACACCCTGGGGAGCACAGTCAACAAATACTTGTTAAATACTTACTGTGTGTGGGATACAGTGATATGCGATATGCATGGGAGCTAAGCAGACGAGAATCCCTGCCCTCAAGGAACTTACATTCTAGTGAGAAAGACCTAACTATATACATAGTATGTTTTAAAAAAGAAAAAAACAAAATGGTTATGTGAGAGTGTCTATAACTGAGGTGATGGTGTTAGGAAAGACTTTAGAAGAAGGTACTTGGGCAGCTAGGGGGCGAAGTGGATAGAGCGCCAGCCTTGGAGTCAGGAGGACCTGTGTTCAAATCCAGCCTCAGATACTTAACACTTAACTAGCTGTGTGACCTTGGGCAAGTCACTTAATCCCTGATTGCAGCAAAGAAAAAAAAAGGAAAAGTAAGTGAAATGAGTTTAAAAAAAAAAAAGGAGGTACTTGAAGTGAGTAATGAAGAAATCTGGGATCCCAAGAGAGGTGAGGAAGGAGTGGATCCCAGGCATGGCTCAGACAGGAAGGACAGCCAAGTATACACAGACATACATGCAATACTGTGTTACTGAGAGGCTACACGTTGTCACAACTATGAGTACAACAGATATACATCCCTGTGGTGAAAGATACCTCAAAAAAGATTTCCTATTGAGACCTGAAGTTAGTCTCTAGAAAAAAGAAACCCAACTCTGCCCTTCTCACCTGGATATATGCCTCTAATCCCTGTCTTCGCTGCTCCAGAACCTTAGGCCTCCAGTTAGGCACGCGTTTGGGGGGAAAGTCCGGCACTTTGCAAGACTTCTTAATCTGTCCAAAGCCATAAGAAATCTGCTTAGAGCTCCCAATTCTGCCAAGAACTGGGGCCCTTGATTCCAACTCCTGTTCCCTTACTTTACCCCCAACCTCTCCTGGACAGGTCCCAAGAGGGGAGTGGTAAATTCAGACTAAACCTTAGCTGAGTACACTGAAAGTCAGGTACAGAATCATCTAAAAAACCAAATCTTTCCATAGATTCCAGTATACCTTGACTTGCCTTCACACAGGTATTCTCCCATTGTTCTTCCCCTACCCAGTTTCCCCTTTCCAACCTGTGAGGGACCAGTGATTTGAAGGAAAGATGGAACTCAGATGTGTAACTTGGAGTACCAGCCCTGGGGAGGGCTGGCTTTTGCCCTTGGTAGAATAGAAATAGGTGTCCCGTGTTATTCAGCTCTTTCCACATCCCAGGGAACAGGCACTACCTACTTCTCACCTGTTTGTGCAGGGCATGGAATTCGCTATAGCGCCGATGTATTGTGTGCCTTCTCCCGTTGCAGAGGACCTCCACCCTGAACACCTAAAGGGAGGGGGAAGCGGTAGGGAAGGAGAACAAGCGAGCCACCCAAGTCCTGGCAAATTCAGGGCAAAAATAAGCCTGTAAGGGAATGACCAGGTAGAACTAGAGGGTCTCCCTACTTCTCTCTTCTCTTCCTACCCCAGAGCAGCCAAGGGAAGACCCGACTCCAACCCTCTCCTAGAAGCCAATTTGAGCAGCTGAGCATCGCCTCGCACAAAGGCCCTTTCAGAACTGCCCAGGCTCTAGGGGATCTTCGGGGACACTAATACATGAGTGCTCACCTCTCCTTCCTCTTCCCCTCCTAGCAATCTAGGTCGAGGGGGCTGGGGGGGGGGGTGGTGGTGGTGGTGGTGAAGGAGTCAGATGCAATCTCCTCTGCCCTCCAGGGCAAAGTTCACCAATTACAAGGTTCGAAGACTGACCCCCCGGCCCATTTCCCTAGTCCGCTGAGATGTAGCTAAATGCTGCTAACCCAGCTGGGGGAGGTGGCGGGGGAAATCTCTGCCTTTTGACCCCCAACCCCTGCCTCTTAATTAACATCCAGGAGAAAGATGGGAGGGGGATGAAGTCCCCAGACTTGCCTGGCGGAGGGAGAGAAACTCGGCATGAAACTAGTTCGAGAGCCTCCCCACAGCTCCTGCCCAGGTCTCCCTTCCCGTTACAGCCAATGCCCCCAGCCCAGAGTTTTCTTCCGTCCCAGTTTAACGAACGCTGCCTCCCCCGCTTTGAAATCCCCCAGTCGAGGAACTCTAGGACCCGCTTTCCAGAGGGAGCTCCCAGCCGAACACTCACCATGTGTCCTTTCTCCAGGCTCCTCTCGGGCTCCGCTGCCTCCGGCCCCACGGAAGGAATGTGTACTTGTAGCATCCCTAACCCAAACCCGTCTTTAGCCCCGGTGCTTGGAGACTGCTCGAGATCAGACTCTAGCTCCAGGACCGACCAACGCTCACTCCAGGGCTAGACTCAGAGATGGCCCCGCCCCGCCCGGCTCCGCCCCCACCTGAGCCCCTCCCCCACCCAGAGGTTCCCTTCTCTTGGCCAGAAGAAAGTGGGGCCAGCCAGCCGAAAGCTACCTGGGGCTGGAATCTGCCTTGGGGGTGCCCAATCCCCAGCTCCAGAGAAGCTTGGGGGCATAGAGAATTCTATTCAAGGGTTCCAATCTTTTCGATGGGATACTAGCCCAGATGGCTAGGAGGACGCGGGGAGCGCGGATAGGCATATGCCTGCCCTCTCCGAGCGTACGTTCTAAGGAAGCACCCAAACTAGAAGGAATGACTAGGGCCCGGCAATCGGGACTTTCCCCAGTGTGCCGAAATTTAGATGAGACTGATCACACTTACACACCCCCGGTACTGAAAGAAATAATGCAGTATGATACAATGAAGGGCCGGAGGCTCCAAAATCAGAGGATCTACATTCAAATCCTCGGTAAGTTACTCATTGTGACCTTTGGCCACATTTAACTAGTTAATCACCTAACTACTTGAGCCTCAAAATGAGTACCCTTCTACCCAACCAAAATCTTTGTCCAGATCTCAGATTCCATGAATTGAGATCAACACCTAGTTAACAAGAATTACTAGTGGAAATAGGAGGCTACGCCGTGTCAAGTGGTTCCTAACACCACTTGGACACCAGTGTGCTTTGAGGATTAGTGCCCTGAGATCATTAGCTGCCCCACCCCAATTTGTCTTAAAAGTTGATTTGAAGGTGTTTTTTAGTGATGCTTATTCCAGGCAGGAAAAATACTAGTTGTAGTTCTATCTCCGTTCCTGGAGAATCTTTTGCTTTCCTCTCTTTCCCCTTGTTCTTAAAATATATATAGATATATATACTTTGTTTTTACATAACCTTTTCTTTCCCACAGTATTCCTCCCTCCACCCCAGAAAGACATCCTTTAGAATAAAGTTTAAAGAAAGGAAGAAAAGGGAAAAAGTCCACAAAACTTAAAAATGTACTTTAAAAAATGGCTTTATTTGCAGAATCCTTAACACCTGGTCCCCCACTTCTTCAAGGGCGGATGTCTTATTATCTTCCTCCTTTGGGGCCAAGATTGGGCATTATAATTGTACAACATTCAGTTTTTATTGTTTTGTTTTTGTTTCCATTGATATTGTTGTAGTTGTTTGATATAGTGTTTTCCTGGATCTGCTTATTACATTGTTTCGGTTGGTCTAAGTCTTTCAGTGTTTCTCTGTGTTCATCATGCTCTTCATTTCTTTTTGACCCATATGTAATATTCCATTCCATTCATGGGCCACAACTTGTTCAGCCCTTCCCCAATCCATGGGCATCTATTTTTGTTCCCCAGTTCTATGTTACCACAGAAGATGCTGCCATAAATATTTTGTCATTGACCTTCTTGGAGAATGTTTTTCAAACCCTACACTCCACCACCTCCATGACCTCTGCCTCTGTTTCCTAAAATCTGCCCCCGAAGAAGAATGTTCAACATTCCAACTTTGCTGTGTGCTGGTTGTGAGAGGAAGGGAAAGCCCACAGAAGCTGACTTGTTCTGAGATAAAGGGGTAAAAGGTAGGGAAGGAGCTAGGATTATGCATGGAAGTTTGCATTCCCCAGTAACTTGCCAAAGAGTGTCCTTTCTACCTCCACAGCATTTCTCAAATGTTTCCCCTTCTCTCTACTTACAGAGCTACCATCCTGGTTCTGACCCACGTCCCCTCTCACCTATATTATGGCAACAGCCTCCTACTTAGCCTCTCAGCCCCAGGTCTCTCCTATCTCCATCCATCCTCCACACAGCTGCCAAGGTGATTTTCCTAAATAAAACATCTGACCATGTCACTACCCTCCTCAAACCGCTGTGGCTCTCTGTTACCTCTAGGAACAAATATAAACTCCTTTATTTGGCATTTAAAGCCTTCACAACCTGTCTGCAACCTACCTTTTCAGCATATTACTGCCTTTTTTACATTCTACATTCTGTGGTCCAACAAAACTGGCCTTCTTGCTCTTTCTTATACATGGCACCCCTTCTCCCATCTCCAAGCCTTTTCCAATCAGCTTTTCCCAAGGCCTCGAATCCACTCCCTGCTTTTTGGAATCCCTTAATCCCTTCAAAACTCAGTTTGAGTGCTACCAATCCCCAATTCCTCCTGATTCCCCCAGCTCCTCAATCTCCGAACTGCATTTCATTTATTTTATATGTAGTGTGTGTATGTATATAATATACATATTATACATACATACACACACATATATATGTATATATGTTGTCCCTTCCAATTAAATGTAAGCTCCTTGAAAGCAGAGACTTTTATTTTGCTCTTTTTATCCCCAGTGCCTAGCACAGGCTTGACACTGAAGAGTGCTTGTTAATTGGTTGATTGAGATTTTTTCATCCTTTTGAGATCTATTGTTATTGTTCAGTCATTTCAATCTTCTGTCTTTTCTTTTCTTTTCTTTTTTTTTTTTTTGGCTAGGCAATGGGGTTAAATGACTTGCCCAGGTTTACACAGCTAGCAAGTGTTATGTGTTTGAACTCAGGTCCTCCTGAATCCAGGGCCCGTGCTCTATCCACTGTGCCAACTAGATGCCCGATGCCCTCTGTCTTACTTTTCTTGACCCTATTTGGAGTCTTCTTGACAAAGAACCACTGGAGTGGTTTGCAGTTTCCTTCTCCAGCTCATTTTACAGATGAGAAAACTGAGGCAAACAGAGGTAAGTAACTTGCTTAGGATCACACAGCTAGGAAGTATTTGAGGCTGTATTTGAACTCAGAACAGAGTCTTCCTAACTCCAGGACTGGAGCTCTGTCTCCTGAGCCATCTAGTTGCTAACTCATTGCCTAGAGAATCTTTGAGTTTGATCTCTCTGAGTTTATTGCTTGAATGACCAAAGAAAGTTCCCAGAAGAGCAGGCAGAGCACTGTGGGCTCAGCTTCTCATTTCTTGGTGGGACTTTCAAGAGATAGATAGATACGCTGATACGTGTATATATACATATATCTATTTAAAAATAACAATACATTTTTAATGCCAGAGATCAGTCAAGTTGCATACAGTGAAAGGTCAGACCTGTGGTGAGACTTTCCCAACAAAGGCAGAAGGATTTGCAGACCTGGATCTGGGGGCTGTGCCCCAACCTCTGGTTAACTCTCCATATGATCCCTTCCAAAGGGCCCTCAGAGTATTTAGAGTCCTTGTTATCGCCTTAGTCTAACTCCACATCATCATAGCCTGGGAAACTGAGGCCCAGGAAAGGGAAATAAGCTTGCCTGAATTAGTAGGATCCTCAGTCAGAACCTGAGCCCAGGGCTGTAGGTCTTTCTACCGCCTCATGTGGTCAACTGCTCTACTGAATTTCCTGAGCTTGTAACAGGGCAGCCCTTCAAACCCTTTGCCTTCCCTAGTTGCACTGAAGCAAGAATGAGCTTGAGGTTGTCTGTACCATCCAGTCCTGAGGCCTGACCTGCTCTTGCCCTGGTCTCTTGCCCTTTTAATTCAATGCAATAAGCATTTATTAATTCCCTACTATGTGTCAGGAACTGTGCAAGCAGGGGGTGGAGTAATACTTTGCCTTTGCTCCTTTCACCATAAATGGTTCCCATACCACCAAGAGACGCCTTCTGCATCAGCCTCAACATCAGGATTGAACCCATTTCATTTTAAAGGGAAATGACCGTTGTCAAAGAGAACTATTGGGGTTTCATTTCCTTATTTTAAATCCTATAGTTTCATCTTGTGGGGGCTCTGTCTGATCTCTTCCCTGAAAGAGAAGTTGGCTCGATATAGTGATACATACCTGTAATCCCTACTCCCTGGGGAGACTGAGGCTCCTGGGGGAGACTGAGGCTGGTGGATTGTTTGAGCTCAGGAGTTCTGACCTGCAGCAGGGCCCAAATTGATCAGTGTCTGTACTAAACCTCAATCAGTCAGTCTTTATTAAGCATCTATTAGGTGCCAGGCACTGCTGAACACTAAAGGAAAAAGACAGTTCCTGCCCTCACAATCTAATGGGGGAGAATCTGGCACCAGTGTGGTGAGCCCCTGGGAGCAGGGACGTTAGGGTGAGCAGGCTGCCTGAGGACGGGCTGGAGAGCAAGTCATGCTGATCAGCTATAGCGTTGGGCTCATGAACAGCCCTTTACTTCCATTCTGGGCCAGGTCCCAAAAGGGACAGAAACAGGGGCAGCTAGGTGCTGCAGTGGATAGAGCACTGGCCCTGCAGTCAGGAGGACCTGAGTTCAAATTCAGCCTCAGATACTTACTAGCTGTGTGACCCTGGGCAAGTCACTTAACCCTGATTTCCTCAAGAAGAGTGATAAGAAGTGGGGGAAGAGAAAGAGAGAGAGAAAGAAATGAGCAGGACTTAGAGTTAACAAAGTCCTAGGTTCAAATCCTACCCCACACATTTTCTATGTGATTGATTATGAGTCAGTCAGCCTTTCTGATCTTCAGTTTCCTTGTCTTTCAAATGACAGCGCTTTACCTGTAATAGCCAGCTTACAAGGTTGTTGTGAGGCTCAAATAAGATCATGTATGTAACTTATTACAGAAATGTCAGCTTTTTATTATTATCATTATGTTGATGATGGTGGTGATTGTGCCCTGCTATATACCACAGCCTAGGCACAGGTCAGCCAGGCCCTGTCCAGCACATAAAGTATAGAAATCTCAGTTTGCAGGAAATTTAAAAACTTGGGCCTGTGTAATCCTTGTGGCTGTTCCTTTTCCCACCTTTTCCCCATTCCCTAATTCTATACCCCTATGCCTATTATTCTCCCGCATCCTCCCTAATCTTTGCCCCTGTCACAATCACTCTGGGCACCTTTGCCTTTCTGTGCTCCAGACTTTGCAAACAGCCTCCCCCTTCCCAGCCCCACTTTGTTAAAGTGACTTATACTCAAATGGCATGGCAAGATCGTTGGTTACAAAGCATTTCCTCCAACCCGAGGTGTGTGTGCACTTTCCCAAACGTACACCTAGAGTGGG